GGCAAGGGCTGGCAGAGGAGGTTAGGAGGATGAGGCTGTCCAGCGGCTGATCTGAGGTTGGCTCATCACAGTGCCACCAGAGGGTTTCTGAAGCCCACTGTCTGCCTCAAAGTCTTACACTAGGGTGGCCATTACCCTAGCGACCACCAAGAAGTAGCTCTGTAGCTTCTGGGCCAGCACAGTTGTGGTAGCCAACTGGGGTGTCCACTTGCTCTTCGAGTGCCTGTGTGCTTGCTGTGTCACCATCATAACCTTTCCTCTCTTTCTTGTTTCAACACTAAGGATGCAGCCCAGGGCCTCATGTCAGACAAGCACTCTACATCGACTTGTACTGTACCTGATGGAGCAAAACAGACTCCATTTTAATGGAGGGTCACTTAAATTCACTTAAACTATAGATAAACTCACTCCTTCAACCCCTCCCATGTAGCTAACCATAAGTCCACTTAGAGAAAAGCAGGGTCATAAAATAGGAACAAACAGAACAACTTGGGGAATAGGGCAAACATTAAACCCCACTGCCCCGTGACAGGCAGATGTCAACAGCGTCTGAGAAATGTAAACCTTGTGGCAGTTGTGTGACATTCTTATAAAATTCCTGAAAATGAAGTAATGAGATAATATGGTAACACGGTTACTATGGAAACCTGAAAAGTATATAACCTGAAAGCAAAGTTCAGGCCAGTGCCAACAATTTGGGAGTCCTGACTCAAAGTCAGGGCATGAGTCAGTCACAAGCTCTCAATAAAAGCTTGCTTGTTCCTCCACACTTGTCTCTTTTGTGGGGGCTTATCTTTGCTCGCTGTCATCTGCAGCTATGCACCCTTTTTATATTGAGACAGAGTTTCACTAAATTGCCCAAACTAGGTTTGAACTTGCCATTCTCCTGCTTCAGATCTCCCACCAGGTGGGATTACAGGTAAACCCAACTATGGCTGGCCTCTTTTTAATCCCCCCCTCTATTTGTTTATTTATTTAAATTTTAATATATTTGGCACAGGGTCTCAGTACACAGCTCAGACTCATAGTGATCCTCCTGTTTTCAGCCTCCCCAGTATTGGGATTACAGGCCTGCACTACCACACCCAAACTCAGTTCCTGGATCAGTGTGCCCAGGGGCAGGGCTGGGGACTGAACCCAGTCCCTGTGTTTGCCTAAGAAGGTGTTTAGTCCAATGAGCTATCTTGCTGGCCCTCTCTTATTTATATTTAAGACGGGGTCTCACTATGTAGTTAAGGCTAGGCTAGGGGCTGGTGAGATGGCTCAGTGGTCTAAAGCACCTACTTAGAACAAGCTTAGCAAAGCCCAGGGACCACGGTTCAATCCCCCAGCACCACATGCCAGCCAGCCCGCCCCCTGGTGGGCTGAGCTGGCCACACACACACACACACACATAAATAAAATTAAAAAAAAAAAAAGGCTAGGCTAGAACTCAGTATCCAAGGCCAGTCTTTTTTAAATTTTATTTTAAAGAAAAAACCAAAATTTCAAAACAATATAATAGGAGAGTAACAATGGTTAATACATTACATATTGTTATCTTTAAATTTAATTGTCCAAACAATATTATCACAAACATTAACTAATGCACATATATCTTCCTTTTTCTCTTTTCCTCGCCAGTTTCTCTTTCCTTTTGAACAGATTTTTTTCTCATTTTACAATATTTATTGTACATTTTAATTATTATTATTATTTTATGAATTTAGGACAAGGTATACAGGGTGTACAGGGTCTCACTGTGTAGATCAGACTTGCAGTGATCTTTCTGTGTTCAGCCTCCCAAGCACTGGGATTACAGGCGCGCAGCACCACGCCCAGTTCCGGTGGCCTGTATAGCACCATGCCCAGTTCCGGTGGCCTGTATAGCACTCCTGGGGTGCTGGGGCTGGCACAGCATGTGGTGCTAGGGATCAAACCCGGGTCCTTGTGCTTGCCAGGAAGGCACTTAGACTGCCAAGCTATGCCTCCAGCCCTTAGTGTATACTTTAGATTGTATTTACTCTTTCAGCTTCTCACACTAGGGAGACAATATATTAACATACGTACATCTGGTTTGTTTCACTTATGAATATGGTCTCAAGTTGCATCCATTTACCTATAAAAGTCTCAAGTTTATCCTTCTCTATGGCTGAATGGTATTTCATTAAATAAAAAGAACTTAGGGCCAGGGAGATGGCTCAGTAGAGTAAGTGCTTGCCTAGCAAGTGCAAGGGCCTGAGTTCAATCCCCAGTTCTACCAAAAATAAATAAACAAACAAATAAAATAATAAAAAATAAAAAGACCTCGTATTTTTTACCCATTCCTTGGTTGATGGTCATTTGAATTGTTTTCAAGATCTAGGCATTACAAATTGTGCTGCTATTAACATGGGTACACATATAACACTGTGGTGCAATGTTTTTAATTTTCCTGGGAAGATACCCAGAAGGGGAGAGCTGAGTCAAATGGGACCTCCCATCCTAGTTTTGTGGAGGAATATCCACAACTATTTCCACAGTGGTTGCACCAATCTACATGCCCAACAACAGTGGAGAAGGGTTTACTTTTCCCCACATGCCTTTTAGTATTTGGCATTGTTTAATTTTCTTTTTTTTTTTTTAACTTTCTGATCATTTTTTTTTAATATTTATTTATTTATCTTGTGTGTGTGTGTGTGGCCAGCTCAGCCCACCAGGGGGCGGGGCTGGCATGTGGTGCTGGGGGATTGAACCGCGGTCCCTGTGCTTTGCTTAGCTTAGCTTGTTCTAAGTAGGTGCTTTAGACCACTGAGCCATCTCACCAGCCCCTCTTTCTTTATTTCTTTTTCTTTTTTTTGGTGGAACTGGGGATTGAACTCAGGCCCTTGCGCTTGCCAGGGAAGTGCTTATTCCACTGAGCTGTCTCCCCGGCCTGGCATTGTTTAATTTTCAAGGCCAGTTTTAACTGCATAGTGAAACCCTGTCTCCAAATAATTATTATTACTGGATGCTGGGGATTGAACTCAGGAGCTTGCAAATGCCAGGCATGTGTTCTATCACTAAGCTACAGTCCCACCCCATTGTAACCAAGGTCAAATGCATGACCTTTCCTATGCTGGGACACAATACCCTCTTTTTTCTGCTATGGTCTCATGCTATGATGTGTCTGCTTTGGATACAGCTGGCCCTGAAACTGTGAGCAAAACAAAACCTCTCCTTTAAGTTGTAGGTGTCAGGTATTGTATACAGTTTGGTAGTGTCATGTCCATTGGTTGTATAACCAATCTCCAATACTCTGCATTTTTCCAAACTGAAAGATATGTCCATTTTCACTTAATAAATATTTTCAAGTTTCATCCGTGTTATAGAAGGTATAAAACTTCAATATTTTCTAACATAAATAATAATAAGCCATAGTATGGATATGACATACATCGTTTATCAATTTACCTGTTGTGTTAGGTTAAGATCATCAGTTTAGCCAAGTGAAAGCTGGGTACAGTGATGCAGGCCTGTAATCCCAGCAGTTGGGAGGCTAAGACAGGAGGATCACCATGAGTTCCAGGCCAGCTTGGGCTACATAGTGAGACCCTGTCTCAAAAACACACACTTAACAATACCCACCCACCCCCAACTCGATTGACTTGTAGATTAGTAAAGGAAACTTCTGGATATGTCTGGGATCGTGGAGATGTGACTTGGGTACAACCAATATGTATGGCCTCTGGTCCTTTGCTGTCTGGCAACATTCCTAAGCTCTGCTTCCTAGCCACCATGAGCTAGGCACCTTTACTCTGACATTCCCTTCTGCCATGGTGTTTCTGCATTGGAACCAGCTGATCATGGGCTGAATCCTCTGATACTGCGAGCAAAATTAAACCTCTCTTAATTTGTGAATGTTGGGTGTTATACCTTAGCACAGGAAAGTTAATGCACCTGCCCTTGGATGTTTGAGTTATTTTGGCCATTGTTTTTCCTATTCTGAGGCCCTTGCCAGGAACAAGGGGCCAACTGAGCCCCCCTGGGGCTCTCATCGACCTGGGATGGCCCTGAGGCCAGGGGAAGGGTGACCAGTGCTTTGGAGTTCTCATTTGGATTCACTGGGGATCCGATGGACCTCTCCCCCTATGGCCTTTGACATCTCTCTCATGTGAAGGATGGTCCAGGGAAGCAGGAGGGGTGAGGGGTAGTGGGCTGCCTTTTCACATCTACCTGCTGCTGAGTCCCTAGTTCCTGCCCACACCTAGGGATTCCTAGCTGGCTGAACTTCAGGACTGCCTGCTGGGAAGCCCACTACTCCCCCAGCCTGATTCTGGGCATTTTTGAGTGTCCTTCAGCTGACCACGAAGAGTGTGTGTGTATGTGGGGGGGTCTGTGCCTCTGTGGTACAGGGTGCTTTCTGCTCACTATTCCTGTGTCACAGACTTGCCTGGCTCTGGTGGCTCCCACATGCTAGCCCTAGTGAGCCAGTTTCTTCATTATTCATTCAACAACCATAGCTTGTGCAGCATGGGCCTAAGAAAAAGATGTTGCTAAAAGAGGGTCCGCTGTACCTAGACTGCTCCCTCCAGAACTTGCCACCGGCCTTCTGCCAGCTAGCCTTCCCAAACCCAAGGCTGGCCTACCCCCAGCCAGCCAGCATTCGCCCCTCCCTGCATTGGGCCACAACTGCTCTTTCCTGGGGCACCAAGTGAGCACCGTGTGAGCTAGAAGCACAGCCTCTACCCTCACGGAGGGCCACTCCCACCTCCCACTCCAAAGGTTTCGGTGAACTGTGGTCCTCCAGTCCTCAGCCCACTAAGAACTCCAGACCTAGGAAGAGTGTACCCACCAGGAAAGGGGAGACAGGAAGGCTAGGGCGGCTGCACATCCCTCCCGGTTGCAAGTCCTTTTAGCCCTCTGGAATCCCCAGCAGTGGACCATTCTCTAGCTGAGAGCCCACCCGGCCTCGGTGATTGGCTGGAAGTTCGGAGCCCGTGGTTATTGGCCGTGCGCCAAAGCCCTGCCCCCTATTTCTGGGCCAGAGACCAGCCGCAGGCTTTCCGCGCCCAGCTAGGACTGCCGGTGGAGGGGACACGCTGGTGGAGGGGATACGCCGCCCGGGCCGTGGTGCCCGGTCTCAGGGCTGCAGCCCAAAACTCCCACGCATTCCCTGGCGTGTCCCCGCGGCATGCCGCCCCCTGCGCTGTTTTGCGCGCTTTGCTGCGGGCTCCTGGCTGTGTCCGTGCGTCCCAGCTACTCCGCGGACCGCTGTAGTTGGAGAGGCAGGTACGAGCGGCCGGGAGCTGGCTGCGTCCCCTCGGAGGGGCGGGGGACAGCGTCTCGCCCTCCTTGGGTGCGTTCCCCGCGAGTCAGGGCCACACCGGACTGCCACCACCACTGATGGAGCGGGGAGTGGGGCGCGGGCAGCGGGCACAGGTCCCTCGTCTCAGCGTCACCGTACTGTCCCCAGCGGCCTGACCCAGGAACCAGGCAGCGTGGGGCAGCTGGCCCTGCCCTGTGCGGAGGGCGCCGTCGAGTGGCTGTACCCGGTGGGGGCGCTGCGCCTGGCCTTGGGCGGCCCAGACCTCAGCACGCGGCCAGGAGTCGCCTGCCTACGTCCTTCGCGGCCTTTCGCTGGTGCCCAGGTCTTTGCCGAGCGCAGAGGTGGCGCCTTGGAGCTGCTACTGGCTGAGGGCCCTGGCCTGGCTAGTGGGCGTTGCGTCCAGTGGGGGCCCAGCGAGCGCCGGGCTCTCTTCCTACAGGCCACCCCACACCGTGACATTAGTCGTCGTGTGGCTGCCTTCCGCTTTGAGCTGCACGAGGATGGGCGTCCAGAGCTGCTGCCTCAGGCCCCTGGCCTTGGTGTGAATGGTGAGTGACCACTGGGGTGAAAACCGGTGAGAGTCACAGAGTGGCCCCTACGTGGGCCTGGCCAGAATGGGCATTGTCATCCTAAGGCACAGAAGGTCCTAAAGCAATGGGCAGGTGGGAGAGCATTGGGAGGCCCTACCCTCTCTCCTTTCTGCTCAGGATTAATTTTAGGGAGGAGCAGACTGTGAATGCAGGAGAGGATGGTCAAGAGAACTCTGGCCTGTGGTCCCTCCCTGAAGGGGTGGGGGAGGGGTGGGGAGACAGCTAATCTCACCGGACAGAGCTGTCCAGAGCTCCTGGCCTGGTAGTGACCTCATGCCCCTCCCCCAGCCCAGCCAACAAAAGCGCACTGTGCTGTGAGTCACCATGGAGACACTGCCTTGCTTCCCTGCAGGGCACCAGGCCCAGCTCTTTGCTCTCCTGGAGCCTGCAGCTTGACCTTGCAGGAGAGAGGGCTCTCACTATTCGGCTCCTTTAGGCTAGGTACCCAAGAAGCTAGAGCCCCCATAACCTGTTGCTGCCCTAACTGCACTTCTGGTCTTTGGGCATCTGGAGTTGACTCTAGGAGCTCCAAGAAGGCTCCCCAATACTGATGTGTGTATGTGAGATGGGGTACAAGTGTGCAGGATGCTGGAACTCCAAGTGGCAAGTGCTGTGGCCCCTAGGCCTGTGTCTTTACATTCACGCCATGGAGGCTTGTGCCTGCCACACATTCCCTGAGTACAGGTGCTTTCAGTGTTGTGAGCACACCTGCTGAAAGGAGTCTGCCCAGTAGCTCCCCCATTCCCATCTCCTATTGTGTTAGGTGGTGATAGGGCACCATAGGACTCATGCTGTCCTCTGCATGCCAGGTGCCTGCAGGCCTTGCAGTGATGCTGAGCTTCTCCTGGCTGCATGTACCAGTGATTTTGGTGAGTGTCCTCATTGTGGCAGGAGCCTGGAGCCTCTTCTCCATCTCAGAATGCTCAGCACTGGCCAACATGTCTCCCCATAGTGATCCATGGGACCATCCACCAGGTTGCTCATGATACAGAGCTGCAGGAATCTGTCATCACTGTGGTGGCCTCCCGTGTCCTCCGTCAGACGCTGCCACTGTTCCTGGTGGGGGGATCTGAGGGCCAGAGGCAGGCCTCCATTCGAACACTGCTGCGCTGTGGTGTCCACCCTGGCCCAGGCACCTTCCTGTTTATGGGCTGGAGCCGCTTTGGTGAGGCCTGGCTGGGCTGTGCTCCCCGCTTCCAAGAGTTCAGACATGCCTATGCAGCTGCCCACGCTGCCCGCCTCAACCCCTGTGAGGTAGCATTGGACTGAGTCTTCCTCTGGGGCAGGGTGTTGGGCAGGGGTTTGTGGGAGGGTAGGTGGGGAGAAGACAATGGCTCCCAAATGGCGTCATGATGCCCAGTGCTTCAGAGGTGATAATAAGAACATTGACCATACCATCCACTGTAGAACTTGTCCTCTGTGGCAAGCTTAGCCCTAGACCTGTCTCATGTCATTTAATATTCCTTTTGCTTCCCTTGCCCACCTCTTCATAGTGATGCCCCATGGCTTATTAACAGGCTCCTGTAGGTCTCCCTACCAGTGTGTTTCTAGGGCTCAGAAGGAGTGGAAAAGCTGCCAGTTCCTAATGCCTGAGGTTGTTGGGATCCCTTAGGTGGGCTAGGAGGGCAGGCTGGCAGACATCACTCTTGGTTCTGGACTAGGCCTGTGAGAGAAGGGGTTGGCAAGATGCCAATTCTCTCCGCAGTTTCTGTGAGCCACAGTCATCCTTGGCCTGGTCCTGCCCTTTGTGGAAGAATGGGCCCCTCTGTCCAGAGGCCTCTGCAACGTGCTGAGCATCCAGACTCAGCAAGGAGCCTGCAGGGTGTGAGGTCTCCACTGTAGGATTCTGTTTGTTGTCTGTTTCCGGCAGGCAGGGTGCACAATAGGGTCTCTAAGGACTGTTTCCCGCCACTGGACCCATTGTTGCTGTCCCTGCTTTTCTCCTCAGCCTCTCTGACACATAAAGCAGTAGCAGGTTTCTGGAGAAAGTTCAGAGCCCTAAAGCTGACAGCCCCTGGACAGATCCCTCTTATCTTACACCCTCAGTTCCCGGGAAAGAGCTCAGGGAACCCCTAGGCTGAGCCCCAGAAGTGGCTTTCCATTCTTACCTGCCCTTACTAAGAAAGGGGTCAAAGGTAGGGTGAAAGTCAGAGGCCCTACTGAGCCTGAAGGATCCTTCATCTTTCAGGCAAGAAATAGGCTGGAAGAAGATCAAGGCTGTGCAGAGCCCACTGAGCCTTGTTCCAGACTGAGCTAACAGGATTTCTGAGTGTGGACACTCTGGGCCACTCCAGTGTCCACCCAGGAATCCCCATGGAACAACCTTTTACCCCCAATTTTTTTATTAGTACAGTTCACAGTACATTATGATCATATTACTTGTGGGAAATTGGTACAACCATATAATTCAATTGTTTGATACCCTTCCCCTCCCCTCCCTCCATCTCTTGGTCCCCAGGGACAGGCTGTTTTGAACTGTATATACAGATGCTTTACTTAGATCACTTTGTCTCTGGGATGCTGACAAGGACATGGGACCTGGGCTCAATCTCCAGTACCACACACACACCCCTGCAAAAAAAAAAAAAAAAGTGTGGGTGAACATGAAGGCCGGGGCTACCAAAGTGGCCTGGGAGCTGGGTGTGATGGTGCATGCCTGTAATCCTACCGACCACTCCAGAGGCTGAAGCAGGAGGATGGGAGGACCACCACAAATTTGAGGCCAGCCTGGGCTACACAAATAGTGAGTTCAAGGCAAGCCTGAACTACTGTATCAAGGGAAAAAAAGGTGGCCTGGGGACCGTGTGTAGGTCAACACCCCTAGATGCACGCAAACTCCCACAGGTGGGCCCCCTTGACTGTAGAGTGCCCAAAGTCCAGGAGTAGAGTTTTGTGTGGGTGTGAGGGAGTAGTTAAGTGCATTGCTGAGGGCCTTTCAAGTGCACAGTTCTGGGACTAGAAATTGCAGGAAGCAGCACAGCCAAGAAGGAGTAGCTAAGCCCTCCCACCTAGAGCTGTCAGCATCTTTCTTTTTCTGGGGTGGCCCAGTTACAGCCCCTGAGGAAGCTGGGCATTCTGAGCTGGGTAAGGTAGACACCTCCTTTCTCATGTTCAGAGGCTCTCCTGCCCTTTCCTGCTGTCCAGCTGACACAGGTCCTTCAGCTTAGACTGGAGTTAATGTGTGAGCAAGTGTATGAGGGAGTGGTCTTGGGCATACCTATTTTGTCCGAAAGTAGCCTCATTTTTGCTGAGATTCCTGACTAGATCCATAGACAGCTGAGAAGCCGGAACGGGGGTGTGTACACCCACAAGCCTGTGACACTGACAGGCATTTGGCCTTAATATGGGGTGAAACGGTTGACCCAAGCTCTGATCCGATGCTGTTCTTCCCCTTGCCTCTACTCCAGGGTTTTACCAGAGTCCGTCAATTTTTTTTTTTTGTTGTCTGAAGGAGGGCGATTTGCCCTCTTCTGAAGATGCCTTTCAACCCATGCTGGGCCAGCTGCCAGAGGCCCAGCCTCTCATATCCGGCTCCCCTCCCACCACCCTCACTGGAGAGCCAACATCTGTCTTCTTGCCCACTAAATCTTTCTTTGTCAAGCCCCTCCTTTCTGCCCCTCTCCTTCCAGCCTCCTCCCCCACGCGCATCTCCCATTTCCCGCCGAACTGTCCTACTAGTGGGAGGGAACTGAAGCCTGTTCTCAATGGGGGGCGCTCCGAGTCTGGCTGGCTTCCAGGGTGACCCGGGCCTCCCTGTGACAGTCACGTGGGAGCTTGGCTATGGCCTAGAGCCTGCAGGATTGGGCCCTTTCCCGCTCCCTGGGAGCTCCACACTCCCCAGCTATTCCCTCCCTGCCTGCTCTGTGCACCCCATCTCCGCGGTAGGGTTCCACGAGGTTGGAGACTCATCCCTCTTCTCGGGATTCCTGCAACACAAGTTCCAAAGAGCTACCCACAGCAGGCTCCGAGCAAGAGGCGTCAGGGCAGAGGGACCATAAGGCGCCGCTGCCCGGAACCCAAGGGCGGGGCCTGGGCGGAGCCGGACGGAGCCAAACAGGCGACGGACCCGGCGCGAGCCTTGTAGAACTTCCGGCGAGTAGTCACCGCCTCTGCCCCATCTGAGATTGCCGCCAGGGTCCCCGGTGGGCGCGGGACAGACAGGATAGGAAGGGTAACACCCCCCAGTTCTGGGCTGGGGCGAGGGCTACAGATAAGAAGGAACCTTGGCGGGAGGACCCTGAGCCACATGTGCCTCAGCCATGGAGCACGACGATCCAGCCGAAGCACTGACCGAGCTGCGAGAACGACGCGTGGGTGCGTTGGAGCTGCTGCAGGTGGCGGCTGGGTCAGGACTAGCCGCCTACGCCGTGTGGGCGCTACTGCTTCAGCCCGGCTTCCGTCGAGTTCCGCTGTGGCTGCAGGTGCGGGACTGCCTGACCCGCCCGGAGTGAGCTAGCTATAGTGGAAACCTGGCTGGGTGGTGGGGTCGGGAAGGGGGCGTGGCCAAAGTGGTGTAAACAGGGTTGTAACAAGCTAAAGGTGGGATCTGGCCTGGGGGTGGAGACTTGAGACTGGGGGTGGGGCGCGCAAAGGTGCGAGGCCTGCAGAGTGGAGGCTGAAGTCTGGACGTGGGGTGAGTTTGTCCAGAAAACTGGATGCCCAGTAGGCAAGCCCCACACCAGTAATTCGGAGAGGATCTGCGAGATCCTCCAGTGGCCCACAGGCTTTGACCTCAGCTCGCCTACGTCCCTGTCCAGGTACCCTATGTAGGTGCGAGTGCCCGGCAAGTTGAGCATGTGATGTCGCTGCTGCGAGGTCGCCCTGGAAAAACGGTGGATCTGGGCTCTGGCGACGGCAGAATCGTAAGGCCATTGTGTTCGAGTGTGTGCGTCTGTTGTCTGTGTCTCTGTCCCCACCCGCACCTCTCGGTCCCCATTTCGGTGTTTGTAGGTGCTGGCGGCCCATAGATGCGGGCTCCGTCCGGCTGTGGGGTACGAGCTGAACCCGTGGCTTGTGGGGCTGGCGCGGCTGCATGCCTGGAGGGCTGGCTGCCAGCACAGTGTCTGCTATCTCCGGGAGGATCTTTGGAAGGTAACCTAGATCCCTTAGATCCCACACCTAGTCTCCCTTCTTCCATTTTTAGCTTGACTTCTGTCAAGTGCTTCTACCAGCTGGGTAGGTTGGGGACCAGGGCTCAAAAAATGCACGGACCTCCTGCCAGCTAGCCCTCTTCCTCTGAGAGGTGACCACCTCCTCCCACAGGTCAGCCTGAAGGACTGCTACAATGTGTCTGTATTCCTGGCCCCCAGTGTGGTAGGTCTGGGGTCAGCTGCCTCACTGGGAGGCTGGGCTACACCCTGGGTATTTGCTAAGGGGTGGGGGACTGGGGATGGGGTCTGCTGTCCCTGCATCCATTTCTCTATTGTTTTCTCCAACAGCTCCCACTCCTAGAGGATAAGCTGAAGGCAGAACTTCCCACAGGGGCTCGTGTGGTGTCTGGACGTTTCCCTCTCCCCACTTGGCAGCCTGTGGCTGTAGTGGGTGAAGGCCTTGACCGAGTCTGGGCTTATGACATCCAAAGTAATGGACCACCTCTGCTTTCTTGAGCGGTATCTGTCAAATCCACCCCAGGACCCAGTGCTACCTCAGTCCTCAAGGACCCCCATTTCCCAGGTTAGCTGACTAGACACAATAAACACTCCATGGGTCTCATGCTGACTTCTTTCATATAGTCATATAGAGTTGAGGGGAGAGGTGACTCCATCAGGTGAGGCTGGAGTTTGGGGAGGGGTCCGTGCTGGCTGTGCAGAGGTCTGCTCTGTACTCTTCAGGAGACTGCCTAATGGCTTAGTGGCTGTGGGTCCTTGAATGCTGGGGTTTGGCTGTAGGTGTGGCCCCCAGTTTTCAGCGGTTCCCCATACCCACCAACTTCCTCAGCCTCAGGATTTCCTGCTTGTACCTGCTCAGAGGGGCCAGCTGAAATCACTTGCCTAGCCAGGGATTTTTCCCTCTCTCCCAGACCAAGGCCATTGAGCGACCCAGCCAACCTGCCTAGGTGCTGGTCCACATACTCCTGAAGCTCAGAAAGCTGCTCCTCAGCCACAGAGGCCCTGACCAGCAGCTGTGCCCGCTCATGTTCCAGTTCTGCCTGGAAGGGAGCATGAGCCATGAGCCAGGGCAGAGAATGAGGAGAGCCCCCACCAGGCCTTGCCCACTACCTGAGTGCCTTGGGAAAAGTCTCGGAGCTTCTGGCAGATCTGGACCCAGGATGCATTATCTAGACCCCTGTTACAGAGGAGGGGATGGGTAGCTCAAGACTGGTGCAGTAGCTGCTAGGGTAAGTCTGCTACAGTCTTACCCAGGCCTTGGAAGATCTGTGCATGAAGGGCCTGCTGACTGGCTTGAACAACTCCAGCCTATGGAGATGCTACCCACAGATACACACAGGTCCCTGAACCCTGAGAGGTGCTCCTTCAAGACCTCTGCACACTGTACAGCTGGGAAGGTGGACACTCAGAGGCAAGAACTACCTGGGTCACCAGGCAGCTAGCTCCCACCCTGCCTTCATCTCTGGATTCCTCCAAATCTTAGCTGAAATGGACCTTCCTTAGGGGCTGCCTTAGTCAAGGTTGACCCTTCATTCAAGGTTGACTCCTCTCCTGGCAACCCTCTTTATTGACTAGACTCTTAGCACAGCAGCCACTTCTCTGTATCAGTGTCCCCACACCCCCACAAACTAGGTACAGCCCACTTTGCACCAGAGCCCCATCTAGCACCAAGGATTGCTGAAATGAATGAAATGTGTGGGGCTCTGGTATTCTGCTATTTTCCCCCTCCCCCAAACAAGGGCACTTACTTTGGCTCTGCTGCACCCCACTGAGAGACTTCACCAGGTCCCTTCTGTGGGTACAAAAGCAGTGTCCCAAGTCTACTTTGCTGCAAAGGTTCAAGATAGTGACCCCTCAGTTGACTGAGCAGGACAGGCTGCTCAGGTGCTGTGGGGCTGGGACTTTGCTGAGCCTGAGACAGGCCTATGGTGAGCTCTGGTGGCTCAGGGCCCCCGAGGCAGTGTGGAGTACCTGGAGCTTCTGGAAGTGGATCTCCAGCCTCACCTCATGCTCCTGCAGGTGACTGAGCTCAGTGCCCAGGTGCATGGGTAGTGACTCCAGCCCAGTGGTTGCAGCAAAGGCATTCTTGGTTCCAGGTGCCCTGCTGGGGTCCCCTATTGCCTGGGGCTGCTTCTGCTGCATACTAAATCACACTCTGGGTTACATAAGGCCATCCTACCCCAGGTGCCCAGGTCAAGGCAGAGCCCACCTGAAAGTGACCAGTAGCTCCTCATGCCTACAACTCAGATCTGCCAAACGTTTGCGGTAGGCCCGAGCAGCCTGTGCCAGCTGTTGCTCACGACTATGGTGTGCTGCCCGGATGTTCTCCAGAGTGGCTTCTAGGAATGTCTGAAGGGCTGCTTGACCTGCACCATCAGCATATTTCTGGAGGAGATGAGGTGTGCTGTACTGGGCAGGACGGGACTTGGTTGGGCCTAACCCCAGATCTGTAGGGTTCCCTGGAGCTGTGTAGGAGGCTTGAGTTCCCTAGGACTCAGAGGCCTCTGCTTGCTCATCCTAGGGTTGGGGCCTACAGCTAGGTGCTTACCACCACCTCTTGGGCACAATGCTGCAGCCGGATGGCATACTCTTCATTCAACTTCTTCAGCTGCAGCTGTAGCCGGGCATTCTCGGCTTTGGTTTGGCAGAGCTGGCCCTGGCATGTGGACAGCACCTGGATTGGAGGAGGGACTTTTGCTGAACTTGTAGGGCCCCCACCTGTGGATCTCAAAGCTTGTAGGATGGAATAGTGCCTTACCACAGCTTGTGTAGCCAGTTGCTGCCTGGCTGCCCTGGCATCCTCTTGGGCTCCCTGAAGCTGCAGACCCAGGGCTGCCCTGCTGACACAGTGTGAAGTCAGCCAGACCAGGTGAGGGGGGTGGCTTTCTCAGTCCCTTGGAAATGTTGTTCTGAGAAGTCCCCTGCTGGGCCCTCCCAAGCCCAGGTGAGGAAACCACTCACATCTGTGTCTCTAGTGCTTGCTGTTGGGCCTTGTGATGCTCCAGTGCTTGCTTTACTTCTCCCTGCAGCTGCTCCCAGCCTCCCAGCATCTGTAGGGTGTACAAGGGCTGGAAGCAGGAGCCCCCCAGCTCCAGGGTCCCTCTACCGTCCCCATCATCCCAGACTGGGAGAACCCCAGGCAAGCCCATGAGGAAAGTTGCCTGCTCGTATTGCTTCTGGCTTCACTGCTTAGATTCAGGGGTCAGCATACCCTTGAACTGGAGGGCAAGAAGTGCTGAAGAATGGGTACACATTCCATCTCACTGTGCCCTGTGGAGACTCCCACCCACTCAGCCTTTGTGTGTTCATGGTGACCTGGAGTCTGTGGTGATCAGTGCATTTAGGCGCCTTGGTTTCCTGGCTGGCTTCTTGTGCCAGTGCCTGGTGGTGAGCTGGGTTGACTTCCACTGGGCCTGTGCACCCTGGCCTGGCACAATCTCCATGCAGCTCCAGCTCTAGCACCCGGCTCTCCAGGCGAAGAACCTGTGGGGAAGTCTGTTGAGCAGGTGCACCTGTCTGGTGCTGCCTGGAACATGTAAATATTATCTAGGGACAGAGCACACATACTTGCTTGTGTGTGCATGGTTGTGTCTACACCCTAATGTACCTGGAACTCTGTGGCACTTGTCTTAGTGTACATCCTGTGCACTCAGGCTGATACCTGTGGGTTCAAACAACTGCTCACCTCCTTCTTTAGCTCGAAAACTTCAGCCTCATGCTGCTCCAGCAGATGATGGGTTGTAATCTGAAGGTTGACTAGCTCCTTAGAGATCTGTGTGTGGCCAGGGTGAGACTGCTGTGAGACCCTGTGGGTGACCAGTCTGGCCATTGCCCTGTGAGCCCCAAACTCACTTGCAGTCGCTGCTCCTCATTCAGCTCCAGATCTGACAGAAACTCTGACTCTAGATTGGTGGCCCAAGCTGGAACACCCTCAGGGAGCAGGGAACAGGGCTTTGCTGGCAGCCAGTCCTTGCCTGGTGATACAAGCTGTGGAGGCACCACCACCCTATGCTCAGGTGGGTCCCAGGTCTGAGCTGTGGCCCCCACAGTGTCACCAGCCTTGCCAGCCCTGCCAAGCTGGGGCAGCCTTTTCCTCGGCAGATTCAGGAATCAGGGTCTTGTACCCTTCTTGACCTCTGGGAAAAGTAGGACCTCTGACCGTAGGGTGGCAACAATCCAGAGGGACTTACATTTTTTGTGGTCTGAGGAAAGGCCCCAGGCCTGGAACGTTGGGCTGTTGGACCCTCCATACAGAACAGGAACTCAGGCTGCTTGCAAACGGAGGGCCTGGACTCTGCTTGCCCTGCCCTGCCCTGGTGGTGGTTGCTCCACGCAGTACAGCGTTACCAAGGCTTCTATTGGTCTTAGGGACTCCAGGACTCACCCACAAGTCCCGCCCGGTCGTTAGTAGTAGTGTGGGGGGTGGGGGTGGGGGTGGGAATGACTTTCAGCTCTTTCCATATATGGTGCTCCTCCTAGGATACCTTCCTTCATTTGGGAAATGCAAATAGAATCAGGGTGCTGAGCTGAAGTTGCTACTGTTGTCCTATGTTAGATGCCCTGTCCTACCATGTGGATTCACACAGGCATTAGATACCTTGTATGCAAACCGTTGTGCTGGGGTCCAGAACCTGGGATAGGCAGGTGAACAGTCTGTACAGCCCTCCCCAAACCAGCCTGAGAAATGGGTGCAGATGTCTCAGCAGAGGCCAGGACCCCGGGAAGCCCTCCTTTCTGGAGGGCTTCCTGGAGGAAGTGTCCATAGACTGAGTCTGAAGCTGGTAGAAGAGTGCACGACACATCTCAGGGCACGCGTGCTCCCTCCTGCGCACGCGCGCTCCCTTGGCAGCGAGTCTGGTGGTTCCGTTGCGCGCAGACGCAGGCTGGGCTGGCTGGGGCAGTGGACAGTCAAGCGGTGTGCTCTGTTGAGGCTCCATGGCCGGTGGCCCAAGGTCCCACTTCTATCCGTCAGTCTGTCGTGTGCCTTCCAGATCGCCTTTGCAGGTGCGAGTGAGGGGGCAACGAGAACAGACTACCCAGGGTCTGGGGTCCTGCTCTGGATGCAGAGTGGGGCCTGTAGGAGAGGCGTGGCCTGCTGGCCTGAGGGTGTGACCTGGAGGAAACCACACTGAGCGGCTTGTGGGCGGGGCTCACTGGGAGGCAGTGTAGCCTTGAGGGGAGAGGCCTGTTGAAGAGGCGTGACCCGTGCGGGACTGCTGGCAGGCGGGGGTGGGGTGGGGAGTGGTGGTGGTGGTGGTGGAATGTCACTAGATCATGTTGGAAAGGCTCCCTGGCCTCTCAAGAAGAGGTTGTGGTAAGGGACGGGGCTGCATTGGCCTAGGAGGCACGCTAGAACCTGGAAAGAATTTCATATGGGTCATTTGGGTAGTTTCTGAAGGAGGAAGCAGGGCTCTGCTTTCATGGTGTATGTTTGTGTTAATCTTGCCCCACACAGCTTAGTAGCCTGGGGCCCTTTTTTGGAGGTGTGGGCAAGTGAGTTCTGCGACCATGAAGGTCAAGGTCATCCCTGTCCTTGAGGACAACTACATGTACCTGGTCATTGAGGAGCACACACAGGAGGCTGTGGCAGTGGATGTCGCCTGGGCCAAGGGGGTGAGGGTCTTCTGTCACCACTACCTATCCCCTCTGATAGCTTCTGTCATCCTAGCTGGAGCAGACCAGGTCTCTAGTTTCTGGTCATTTGGCGTTTAAGGTTTATTATCTGGGGGCTCTCCTGAAGTTCTGGGCATCTTTGGTGTCCCCACAGATGCTGTGCACCCAGTAATTGTCTGATGCCTGTCTCACCACATGATGCCCTGGGTCAGGATTAGGGTCCTGGTGGAAGGGGCGGGGAGGCAATTGCTCTGAATGTCTGCATCACCAAAGCTCCATTCCTTCCAGTTGCTGGAGATTGCAGGCCGGGAAGGGGTGTCACTGACTGCCGTGCTGACTACCCACCACCACTGGTGAGCTTGGGCAGGGGTTGGAAGGATTCCTCTTCTATACTGCACAGCCCTGACTGGTGCTTGCTGGGGTCCAGGGACCATGCACATGGAAATGAGGAGCTGACACAGCTGCAGCCAGGGCTGGCCGTGATGGGCGCAGATGAACGCATCTCTGCACTGACTCGAAAGCTAGCACATGGCGAGGAGCTTCAGGTGAGCCATGCTCAGAAGAAATGGGAGGGTCTCAGCCACCAAGCCCTTTCACAATCTGCTTCCCCTCTGCTGAAGTTTGGGGCCATACATGTCCGATGCCTGCTAACACCTGGCCATACATCTGGTCACATGAGCTATTTCCTATGGGAGGATGAGTGTCCAGACCCACCTGTCCTCTTCTCAGGTATTGCAACCCCTGGTTCACCGACCCCACTGTTCTGACCCAACACCCAGTTTCTTTTTTTTTTTTCCAACACCCAGTTTCTGACCTGCCCTCCTCCTCCAGGGGATGCACTGTCAGTGGTTGGTTCTGGCTGGCACTTGGAGGGCAGCATCCAGCAAATGTACCAGAGCCTTGCTGAGACCCTCGGCACCCTACCCCTGAGACGGTGAGCTTTAGTGCTCCCTGTGCCTCCTCTGGAATGACCCAAATGCTCTATACTGCCCTGCTCCAGACCAGAGATCTCAGCACCTTTCCTGGCTTCTACTTGGGGAAGCACTGGGCATCCACTGAGTCCTCTCCTCCTTCAGAAGGTATTCTGTGGCCACGAGCACACACTAAACAACCTCAAGTTTGCACAAAAAGTAGAACCCTGCAGTGAACACGTGAAAGCCAAGCTGTCCTGGGCCCAGGTAGGCCACTCCTTGTCCACTGTTGGGAGGGCTACAGGGGAAGAGGAAGATAGGCAGCATCCTTCTGGAGTTAGGCACAGGCATCTTATACAGCCCGAGTTAGCACAGCTGACCTGGGATGTGCTGTTCTATGGCTCACCTTATGATCTGATCCAAGCAGCCCGGCTTGTCAGAAAAAGTCCAGTTGTGACAAGGGCCTGTGGTCATTGCAGAAAAGGGATGAGGATGACATACCCACCGTACCCTCAACCCTGGGAGAGGAGTTCCTGTACAATCCCTTCCTGAGGGTAGGGTGAGTATGGCCCCTATTCAGGGACTTCTGGTAGTGGTGGTGGGGAGCTGAGCCAGGATCACTGGGGCAGCCTTTGGGCCTTCAGACTTCCCAGGGATTAGGCTGCAAGAGCTGCTTGGGGCCTTGGGTCTCCTGGACAGTCATTTGGAGCCTGGAGACTGTTTATTGGGCTAAGTGTGCCTGGCACCTGGGAAAGCTGTTAAGTGGTTTCTCATTATTTACTGCCCTATCCATCCCCATCTCAGTGGGTGGTGGGCCACACCAGTGGGTTTCCCTAGTATGCCTCTTCTCCTCCAGAGAAGAGCCAGTGCAAGAGTTCACAGGCCGCTCATCCCCTGCTGAAGTCCTGGAGGTGCTCTGTGATGAGCGAGCAGCCTTCCAGCATGCTGCTGAGCCACCGCAACTTCAGGCCGGCACTCCTCGCCCTGCAGTGGGGCCTCCTGGATGAACCTGGGCACAAATGACCCACAAAGGGTATCTGCTTGCCTCATGCCCCTCTGACTGGATCCCTTGAGGATGGCCTCTGGAACCTTCCCAAGGCCCTGCGTGGTCAGCTACTCAGTCTCAGAGGAACAGCAAGTGATGTTCTCTGTCATTTATAGGGGTACAGGCCAGACCTCTGTAGTGCTACGTGGGCTGAGACAGGCCACCAGCTAGCCTCCAAACCCTGAATAAAATTCTGAAAGACTTCTCAGTGCTGCAGATACTATGAAAAGCCAGCTGTTTTCACAGTTGTTGAACATGTACCTTTATTAGAAGATTGGTGGGAGATGGGCCTAGGGACCCCAACATGGAGACGTGATGCTCACCCTATCCTAGGCCCACAGCTTCGTAACTGATGCCCCACTTTCAGGGCCTCAAGCTCCCCTTATTGTCAGGCAGTCTCTATGTAGGGCTGTTGTTGGACCCACTCAGCAGGTATAGCCCTGTCACTTTCTGCACTGAGATTTGAGTCAGCCTAGAAACCATAAAGGAAGCACCCCAGAAGCCACTGCAGCTCCCATAGCCAAGAAAGGCAAGGAAGGTATTCATGGACTTAATCCCTAACCAAGGTTCCAGAGGCACAGAGGATCTTCAGGTCTTGGCCATTTCATTTCTACCCGACAGTCAGTACAGTCAGGAGGTAAGCAGGCCAGGTCCTGACAAAGCCAGTGTACTGCTTCAGTCCCTGTCGCCCAACTCAGTCTGGGGAGGCCCTGGGGATCTACATCTCTGCTTGGCCTTTTTGGGAATCCTAGTGCTGGTTCTGAGGGCTTCAGCAGACCCCCAGTCTCTTACCACCGGATGCTGAGGCCTGAGCTGGCCTTTTCCACAGCATGGTACTGTGTGTGTAGCAGGTGGCTGGCCCGCTCTGAGCCTTCGCCCTGCAGCCAGTGTTGGTACAGCTCCTGGACCCCAGGGACATCCTCAGGTGCTTCTACCCTGATCATGCCATATAGTCTCTCCACCTGCTGGAGAAGCTCCCTGCCTGGTACATCTGGGGCCTTGAGTTGACCTCCACCGTTCAAACAGCCTGTGGCAGAGCAGATGGTGTGGGCATGGTGTCAGGAGGATGTGAGGCAGGGGTCCCAGCACACACCCCATTCCCATTACTGTATCACCAAACCCCACTAGAACATCACTGCTCAAATGGTCCTACTATGCTGAGAGGATCTACCTGAAGGGCAGGCCATGACCTCCACGTAGTGATAGGGGCAGCGGCCTCGCTTGAGCTTCTGTACCAGGTTCTGGATGTTTCGAAAGCCATAGGCCACAGCAAAGCGCAGCAGCACCTGGTCCCCCTTCTCCAGGGTCACCTCCTGGAAGTCCTTATTCCTGGGAACAAAACTTGCTGTGTATACCACACAGTGCTCAGCTCCTACCTGAGCAGGGGGAGGCATGCTGGGCCTAATGGCATGGCCAGGGGCTCCTGTCTTCTCTCCTGCTAGACAGGGAAAACCACAGCCCACTTGAGGTTCCTTTAGGAACTCCCTCTTTCCTAAAGGTGGCTTTGAGGCACCAAGTCCCAGCCTTCCTACCCAGATGCAGACAACATTCTAGCATATATACAGGCTGTGCTACTACCTTTGCACACACTGGTTTTTCCAGTTCAGGGTTTCTGCTGTGGGGGAAACAGAGGCCTCACTTCAAACTTCTGAGGGCCCTGTCAATGCCCAGGCTCTAGGGTCCTCCACCACGCCCACCTAAGCAAGAGGACTCAGGGGCCTGGTACCAGCCTAGGGAGCCACACAGTTGCCCTGTCCAGCCTTCCAACCCATTCCACTGACCTCAGGGGTCTGTAGGTGACCTCAGCCACATGAATTCCGAAGAGCTCTTGGGCTGCGTGCCGGAACACATGCTCCAGGTAGCCTCCTGAGCCCCCGCCCCGATGGCTGGTGAGCTCCTTGTCAGACATACTGCTGGTCCTGGAGGAGGGGCTGGTCAGTGAGGATGAAGGCAGGGCCTCAGCACAACTACATGCTCTTCAGTTTAAGCTGTTTGGTTTTCTAAATGGAAAACAATTCACAGACACAACCCTGGTGGCCTTGGTGTGTCTGAGACACAGATGTACTTCATTGGCTTCCTGGGAAGCTCAGACCTCCACAAGGGTGGCTCTACTGATGACATGAACTCGGACCCTCTTGCAGCCCAAGATAGGCCACAGGGACGAGAAGGCACTGTCCCATCCCATCGGTCACATCTTAAGCTAAAATAAAGGTTCCCAGGTCTTTCTTACTCACAGGCTGTCCAGAGGGGCTGGCTCCAGCTCTGCCAGTGATACCCCTTCCTCTTCCAGCAGCCTGAAGACTTCCCCTACAATGGGCACAGCATGGGTTCAGGCTGGGCCTGGGCTTTCAGGCATCTGCATCTCTGGCAGTCTGCAGTCTGGCCACAGAAGGGTCCCTGGCATCCATCCAGTTGGTGGAGGGAGGTCCAGCCCACCTCTCAAGACTCCTGGGAGGGCCATCTTGTTCCTCCTCTGGGGGCAATGGGAAGGTAAGCCAGGGCCTCTGTGCTGGTCTCATACTGGTTATTCAGCCTCCTAGGCACTTTAATCTTCCTGTCTCATTACTATTTAGGGTGCAGCTCAACTCAGAAATGGAATTGCAATGTGAGCCAATGGGCCAGCCTTGAAATTCTTGCATGTCTTTCCTACGACTCACTGTGGAGCCAATGAAGTGGTGCTATTGGGGCTTCTGTGGCCAAGGCCCCTGCAGGGTAAGCTGAGAATGCCTTCAATTCCTGGCCAGAAGGAGAGAGAGGCAGTACAGAGGGAAGCCCCCACCTCCCACTGGGCTATGCCAGAGCCTTGTGGGCAGGTGCCAGGCAGAGCCTCAAGGTGACCATACCTGTTGTGAGGACACAGTCAACATCACGAGTCTGGTATTCCTGATTGAAGAAGTCAGATCTAGAAGCCTCTAATTTTTTGTCATAGCAAGGCATCACTGTGATGTGGTAGATCTTGTCAGGAGTCAGGTTCTATAATGGGAACACAGAAACACAAACACAAGCCTCACCTGACCCTAGCTCAGATGTGGTGGAAGCATGACTGTGGACACAGGGGCTGGAGAGATGGCTCAGTGGTCTAAATCACCTACTTGAAACAAGCTTGGCAAAGCACAGGGACCGCGGTTCGATCCCCCAGCACCACATGCCAGCCAGCCCCGCCCCCTGGTGGGCTGAGCTGGCCACACACACACACAATAAATAAATGTAATAAATAAAAATAAATAAATAATTAAAAAAAAATAAGCAAAAAAAAAAAAAAAAAAAAAAAAAAAAAAATGACTGCGGACACAGTCACCAAGGGCTTCTGGCCAGTATGTGACCATGAGCCACACTGCACTTCCCAGAAGCCTTCCTGACTACTTGGTGGATATGTCAGTAGATACCATAGGCTCCAATCACACCCAGGCTATGCCCCTTACATGCAGGGAGGGCTCTCCCTGCCCTCACGTTACTGGGGTCAGCAGAAAAGAGTAGGTCATGGTGCAGATGAGGACAACCAAGGGAGTCTGGCTGTGGTCACAGGGAGGGAACACAGCAAGACTGAAGCTAGCTTAGTGCCCAATCAGCTTCTCTTCTGCCCCCATGGCCACATGGTATTAGGCTCCTCAATTACACAGATTCTTACCTGGACTGGCTTTAGCTTCTGCTTCTAGACCCTGAGGCTTTGCTACCTCTAGACAAGTGACAAGTACCTTTCTGTCAGAACTGGGCCCCTGGTGATCGGGAGAAGACACAGCTCTGGCAGCAGCAGGCTGGCTGAGCAGGAATAAGAGCAAGGCTAGGCTGCCTCTGGAGGAAGAGGCTATTAAACTCTGCATGACCCCAAATACCTCTAAAAGGTGCTGTGGCCACAAGTGAGGGCCCTGACCTCCCACAACTGCATACAAATGGGCTAGAATGGTCAACTGTGTCTTGTGGCTCACATTCGTGCTCTAGTGTGCTGCCTGATGGCCCAAAGCTAATACCTGCTGCTGGGCAAAGAAGTCCTTGACCAGGGAGCCCATGACCTGCTGTGGGGATCGGGCTGTGCTGATGTAGGGCAGGATGAAGTTGCCGTGGGTCTTCTCCGCATAGCAGATCCAGCCTGAGCCAACAAGAACACATCTTGATAGGGGCACAGGGCAGGCCTGGGGGCGGTGCAGAGACAGCCTCTCCACGTGGCATGACATGACATTCTGGGGGTGGACCAACTCATACAAAAAATTGCAGTGGCATTAAAAAGCATTCCCATTCTGTCACCACCACCAGCACATGGACTGTCAGCATCTAGGTGATTGCCAACAGGAGCTGGTGCCTGCAGGTGACTCCCCAGGGCCCAGGGTGCCTCCTCTTCCAACAGTCTATTGGGCACCAATGCTTCTAACCCACTCTTGCCTCCCCCTATCATCTTTCCTGTGTTCCCATGACAAGCTGTTGCTATTCATGTCAAGTTTTAACCTCCCTTGAACTCAAATCTCACACTGTAACCCATGAGCACACCTGGACAGGCAGAAGCCAGCAACGGCAAGGCCTCTCTGGAGTCAGTCTGTCCTCGGAATCGCCGCACAAATTCTCGTTGACTCTCAAGAAGGGTGAAGTTTCTGGAGAAGGTAGTATCAAAGACGAAGTGTGCCCCTAGAAGGCAATGGAGGGCATGCATATGCCTGATCTCAGTAACAGGCAGAATAGTATCAGAGGCCTCTGCCTGCAGCAGCAACACTGATCACACAAATATACTCTCTCTCTCTCTGTGCCCATCTATCTCTCTCACACACAGACGTACATACGCCCCAAGCAGGGCTTTGCAGCACCTGATGTTTCCTTGGCATACCAGGAACTGTGCACTGTTGTACATACACAGCTCGTGCCATGTGGACAGCTCAAGTGCTAACCAGAGAACCTGCTTCTCACAAGGTGTCAACTCTACTATAGTGAATCCTTGTAATTTTTTGTCTCAATGTCCATTTTGAGTATTACTGAACTCTTATACCAGAGGGAGAGCTCAGTCCCCTGGGCACAATTTCTTGTTCTCCACCTGCTTTTAGCTGCTTAATGTAAGGCTTCCAGAAGTCTTATACAGCCACCTCCTAGTGGTCACACTGCTCCCAGGACAACCACTCACACTCACGTGGTATGGGCTGTACAGACAGATGCAGAGAATATCTTTCAGAAGAGTGAGATTTTTGGACCTTATGTCTGTGTACTCTAAACCTAGCAACCAAAACTTCCTACAACAAATCTGTTTGAACCCCTGAAAAAGACTGCCCTCTTGATTTGCTGCACCCTCCCTACACACTCACTTTCTGTTTTAAAGACAGGGTTTCACTGTGCAGTTCAGAATGGCCTCCTCCAGCTTGTAGTAATCCTCCTGCTACAGCCTCCAGAGTACTGGCATTACAGTCAGGTGCCAACCATGTCTGGCCATGACACTGAACCTTAATCCCCCATCAGAACTAAGGGCTGCCCCAGGCTGGTTTTCCTTGGTGCTGGAGACTCAAGGTCCCAGCACCAGAGCAATGGTTGGGATGTGCAACTCAAATACAGGTCAGAGGGGAGTCAGGGCATCTACCCAGTCATCATGGTGATAGGTGGAGAATTTGGCACTAGGCTTCCAGGTGAAAAGAGAATCCTATGAATGAGGCCCATACTCAGCATCCTTTTGTTTCCTATTAGTGAGGAAAGTACCAGCAGCTTTTTTTTTTTTTGTGGAACTGGGGATTGAACTCGGGTCCTTGTGATTGCCAGAGAAGCGCTTATTCTACTGAGCCATCTCCCTGACCCTGTCCAGCAGCTTTGATACTGGAACCTGATTTTGTTGAGGGTCCTTAAAACACCCATATCCTACCCAAACCCAACTTGTGGGCCAGAATCCAACCAAAGCTGACTCAAACTTGAACCTAACAAAGACCTAGAAAATATGCCTTAAAAACAGTAACTAAAAAAAAAAAATACAGGCTCAGGGAACATGAAAAAACAGAATTCAGGGGGTTGGTGAGATAGCTCAGTAGAATAAGCACTTGCCTGGCAAGCGTAAGAGCCTGAGTTCAATCCCGGTTCCACAAAAAAAAAAAAAAGAATTCAGTTGCCTTCTTTTTTTGTTTGTTTCAAGACATGGTCTTGCTATGTAGTTCAGGCTGGCCTTGAACTCACTGTGTAGCCCAGGATGGCCTCAAACGCCTTTTTTTTTCTATTGAGATTTTAAAAAAATATTTATTTATTTATTTATTTATTTATTTAGTGTCTGTGTGTGGCCAGCTCAGCCCACCAGGGGGCGGGGCTGGCTGGCATGTGGTGCTGGGGGATTGAACCACAGTCCCTGTGCTTTGCTTAGCTTAGCTTAGCTTGTTCTAAGTAGGTGCTTTAGACCACTGAGCCATCTCACCAGCCCTCAAATGCCTTTAAAAAAAAATTTTTTTTTATGGTACCAGGGATTGAACTCAGTACCCTATGCTCGCCAGGCAAACAATTATTCTACTAAGCTATCTCCCCAGCCTTCAAACTCCTTGTGATTCTTCTTTTTCAGCCTCAGTGCTCAAATTATAGGCATCTACCACCATGCCTAGCTCAGATGGCTCCCTTTTAAGGTACTGCTCTAAACTGTGAAAGTACAATTTCAGTCTGAAGTCAGACTTAGAGTGCCTCTAGTACTTAAGTTCAGAGTTGAGCAGCTTGTGACTCAAGAGGTGGGAAGAGCCTCTAACACTAGACCCCCTCTAGTTCTGGGGCTGTGGTGCTCACCCACGGTTCTGTGCCTACCTATTTTTTTAAAGAATGAAGTCAGTTTTCTGGCAGTGTCTGTAGGACTCAGCTGGAACCGTGCAGCCAGCGATGCTCTGGACTGGGGTGAGACTGAAACAACAACCAGCTGCTGCTGATCTGGTGGCACTGTCTGCAAAGCAGGGGAGACATGTTCTCAGTCCACAGGTTCTGTGCAGATTCCTGTTGGCCAGCCTGGTACAGCCAGATGTCACTGGCCTGGAAGTAATGCACAGTCCCATCAAGACCTGTCACACTGGTACACACTCAGAACCTGAAATTAAGAGGTTGGCACTTTCAGTGTCAGACGATATCAGCTAAGTCACCAAGGGCCCACAAGAAAACTCAGACCTGGGAGTCACCAAAAGACAAGACAAGCAGCACTGGAGCAGCTGCCCCCAAAGTCAGTTCTCCATCATGTACCTTATTGGTATCTAGAACTTTCTGCAGCTCCTTGTGGCTTTGCTGGGTAATAAGCACAGTTTCTGCTGAGGTGACACAGCCGCTGCATGCCAGGCAGTCATTCAGTGAGACCCTGGCCTTCTCTAGCCTCTGGGTCCCACCATCCTGGGAGAGGGAAGACACAAAGCAAGGGTCCTTCTGTAGCAATAAGGGCTCCACAGGACCCTTTACCCTTCCATTCATAAGTAACACTCTGACAAACAATGTGGAGGCTAGGCTTATGTAGTATTCAGTTTCTTAAAAACTATATACCTATTACATAAATGCTCACATATGTCCTAAATCTTCATATTGCCATCTAGTTCTAACTTGGCTAGCACATCACAATTGCATGAATGAGTCTTCTTGCAATATGTCAGCAAAGAAATAGAGGACTTGCCCACCAAAGGGGTCCTGGAGAGGCTGCTGTTTTCTAAGCTGCAAACTCAACTCACTAAGTGACAAGCTGTGGATCATGACACTCAAGTGGAGGAAGGGGCTGTAGGACAACACTCAGTGGCTTTTCTTATGCAAAATGACCTCAGCTTGAATACCTCACTTCCTCCAGAAACACAGGATAGGTTTGAGCAGGGTCAGGAGAGCTGATGGGGTCCACCATGCAACCTAAAGAATAAGAACTTATGGGGGCTGGGGAGATGGCTCAGTGGATAAGTGCTTCCCTGGCAAGCACAAGGGCCTGAGTTCAATCCCCGGTTCCACCAAAAAAAAAAAAAAAAAAAAAGAATAAGAACTTAGCTAAAAGTCCTTTCAATTTTTCTCTTCTAAAAAAAAAAAAAAAATTCTCTTCTTAATTTCTTATACATGTCTTTCTTTTTTTGTTTCTTCAGTTTTACATGCATATATCTGATAATATGAGTAACTGGTTGGAAGACAACACTATGCATTACAACAAATACTGTGAAATTCATATTACTTTGTTAAGAGATTCTATTATCACTTTAAATTTTGTTTTAATTCTAATTTGTACTCTGGGCCACTGTGCTGGCCCAGGCCAACAAGAAGGCCTGTGCCAAATGGGCCTGTAAACTACACATTTGTACTCTTTAAGAATAAAAGTCCTGGGGGCCGGGGAAATGGCTCAGTAGAATAAGCGCTTGCCTGGTAAGCTCAAGGGCCTGAGTTCAATCCCTGGTTCTGCAAAAAAATAAAAAAATAAAAGTCACTTCAACTGATTGTCTTTTAGGCCTGTGTATGGCACCTGTGGGCTTGGTTATGATGCTGTGTGAAGTCAGTGTGTCTCTCTTAGCCAGCTCCCATGACACTGGACAACATGGCCCCGGTGCTCCCTCCCTGAGTCCCTTTATCTGTAGGACCCCTCCTGAGTGCAAGTCCTCCTACTGTACCAGGCTCTGGCAGGTGCCATGTTATGCTACAAGACCATCCTCCTGGTCTGGCTCTTCCTGTGACTGCTCAATCCTGTCATCTGTCCTTCACAGAGATCTATACACCTCATACCATGGACCGCCCTGCCATTACTGCCCCACTCAGGGCAGATTTCTGAGCCAGGTTCCCAAGGTGGGGTTAAGATCAATTATTTCTCAACACAGCAATGCATGGGACTTTGAAGATGTCCTCTAAAATCCAATTTGTGAATTTTAACATCACATCAGGATCATAATGTCTCTTAGCCACAGAGAAAGCGAGTGTGATCCCAGAATATGGGGCTGGAACTAGAAAGTCTTATACAACTAGAACTGAGATGGGACTTCCATCTCTTTTTTTATGTATTTGGTATAGGGTCTCACTATGCACCTCAGGCTCGCAATGATCCTCCTGTTTTCAGCCTCCCCAGTGCTCAGATTACAGGCATGTGCTACCACACCTGTCGTTTTCTCAGAACCTCTCTGAGAAAAAGGCAAACTCACTGCCTAGTCTAAGTGACCCATTCACTCTCCCCAGGGACCCTAGTCCTGGCTCCCACAATGGTCAGGGAATGTGATGGTGAGGAAGGATTGCTGAGATGTAGGATGTCTCAAGGTCACCACATTCATGACTAAGTAAGGCAAATAAGTTGTGTTTTAGACCCTCCCGGCTGGACTGTGGGAAAGCCGCTCATGCCTTACTTGGTCAACTTGGAAATAGCTTCCATCATCTTCAATGTGGATCTTGGTCACAGCACTTCCTGGCCTCTTATCCACCTTCATGGGCTTGATGCAATCCTACATGGGAAAGAGACCCCAAACCAGGCCCTGTGAAGGAGCAGAAGTTTCTGAGGAGGCAGGCCTCAAGTTTGGCTGGTCACATGACACTGCCCTGAGCTGCACACTTACCATCTTCTTGCTACTGGAACCATCCTAAACTCCAGCTGCTGACCCTGCTCTGCACTGGGTACTCATTTCTAATATGAAGGTCACTCACTGTGCTAGCCCAGGCCAACAAGAAGGCCAGTGCCAAATGGGCTTGTAAATTACACATCTGCAGAAACTGCAAACCTGACCTCTAGCAGGTAGCAGCCACCACAGAGGCCAGTGTTAGGGCTACTGAAAGGAACCCAAGTGTGAGGCTAGAATGCTTTCTCGAAAGTCTGGAGGTCATCTCCCACCCACTGACATGGGCAACAGCAAATGTCTTTTCCCATCTTTTTGTTTCCTTGTCATTCCACAAGAACTATGGTGGCTACTGCATTCCTGAAAGTGACCTTCCCCACTGAGCCCTAGCAGAAGGGATTAACTTGGCCTGGGTAGCGGGTCAGTCCCCCTCCTCCTCTGTGTCTCCTTAGTTATGGACACAGAGAGCCACAGAGAGGGACATCCCATTGTGGCTGGTCTTCTGAAGGATCAAGCTCTGTCATCCTCTCTGGGGTTATGTTAAGGTCAACATCAAAGCGCAGTTTTTGTAGTGCCCCCTGTGGAACACTCCCATCCACACACAACATCGCAGGCCAGGGCCGGGGAGATAGCTCAGTAGAATAAGCACTTGTCTGGCAAGTGCAAGGGCCTGAGTTCAATCCCCGGTTCCGCAAAACAAAAACAAAAACAAAAAACAACATCGCAGGCCTGTGCAGAGCTGGCCAGCTCCACTCCTGCCTCTGCACCTTCAGCACGAAGACACTAAATAAAAGGCACTGGCTGGAGGGCAGCACAATAATTGTCTCCCACTAGACTCCACTGGGCTGTGTGAGCTGGCGCGGGCCTCTGATTCATGAACCCTCCCCGACACCCTAGGCACTACAACCAGGATGGGGGATACCACCCTCTCTGGCCTCAGTTTCCCTGATATAGTAAGACGGCGGGCAGACCTCCAGAAGCCCTGGGTGAGGAGGCCCCAAGGGCTTCTTCTCCCCAGGTCCTAGAGAAGAAGCAGGGGAGGACAAGTTTCCCCCAGCCACGGCCTTCTCGGCCGGCCCACCTGAGAGGGCCCGATGAAGTCATCCAAGTCGGTCAGCTGCAGTACCCCGCTGAAGGGCGACGCCATGGCGGCTGTACTGCCGCTGGAGATTGCGTACAGATGTCGCCAAATAGCGTAAAAGGAAGAGCTTGTTCCGCCACCCTGCCGGAAAGCACTCCACTCTGCGCAGGCGCGTCGCGTGCCAGGCGGGCGGAGTGGTGCGCGCCCTCTGGTGGCGATCCCGAGCACAGTGGCTCTTGCATCCCGAGTCGCCGACGCTGTGGACCAAATCACTTTCTGTTTCATTTTTTCCGCGTTCGCCTGGACTGTGGTGCAGAGGGGCAGTGTAGGCGCAGCTTGGCGACAGAGTCTTTCTGGCTTCGAAACGGATCGGAGGGGACCTTCACCTGGTCTTTTTGTGTACTCTTTTATTGTGGACCTACCGGCCAGGTGTGGGCTGGAGGAGACAGTCCTAGAGCTCCGAGAAACTCAGCCTTGACCCGGTCGGCTGACTGTGCAGCCCAAGAACCCCAGGTGGCGCCTGGCACACAGTGGGTGCCTGGCTTCTGTTTCAGTAGATTCAAGTGGTAAAGAAAATTTAAGGGCAGAATGAAACTCTCTCGCTCTCTCGCTCTCTCTCCTTCCTTCTTCTGCAGAGTCTCACTCCACAGCTCAGACTCCTAGTGCTCCTCTTGTCTTGGCCTCCCCAGTGCTGGGATTACGGGCGGGCGTACACCATCACGCCCAGTTTCGGTTTCGGTGGCCGGCCCGGCGTGGGACCCACACGGCAAGCCGCACTGGGGTCGAACCCGCCAGACACAATTCTTCGCACTCCCTTGGCTTCCGTTGGAGCATAGGTCAGCACCCCCACCCCGGCCCTCCAGTACCCAACTCCTGTTATCTTAGAGAGCGACCTAAGGAGCAGGCTGAATTCTTTTAAGAATTTATAGCCTGACAGACGACCATTAGTGGTCTGACTCAGTTGTTAAACCTAAATAAGCCACAGCATGTCCGGTTGTGCATTTGGCGACAACTTTTTATTGGGGCTTTCCAGAAAACTCCAGGTGTCAAGACTGGCTTATCCCCAGACTCCACCTGCTCCAGTCTGCTGGGCACCCCAGCAGGCCTAACCTGAGATCATCATGGTAAACCCACATTTCTGAGGCCCTGGTCACCTGGGTGTCTATCTACTGCTGTCCCCCTCTACTGGGTATTGAACTCAGGGCTATATCCCCAGCCCTTCACTTTTTATATTTTGACACATTTTAAAAATTGTCCAGTCTGGCCTCAAACTTGCCATCCTCCTGCCTCAGCCTCCCAAGTGGATTCCAGGCATGTAGTATCATATGCCCTGGTTTGAACTGTACAGTTTATTTTAAATTTTTATTTATTTATTTATTTATTTTGCAGTACCAGGGATTGAACTCAGGACCTTGTCCTTGCCAGGCAAGCACTTATTTTACTGAGCTGTCTCCCAGACTCTGAACTGTACACTTTAAATGGGTGAACTATATGATGTGTGAGTCTATTATAACTCAGTAAAGTTTTTAAAGAAAGGGTAGGCCAGATGTGGTGGCATATACCTGTAATCCTAGTACTCAGGAGGCTGAGGTAGGAGAATCACTGTGAGTTTGTGGCCTACGTAATGAGTTCAAGGATAGCTTGAATCACATAGTAAGACCTGTTTCAAAAAGACAAGACGAAACAAGAGTAGAGCTAGCCAGGCATGGTAGCACATGCCTGTAATCCCAGCAATTAGGGAGGCTGAGGCAGGAGGATTGCAATTTTGAGCCGCCCAGGGAAAGGAAAGAAGGAAAAGAAAGAAAAGGAAAGAAGAAGCCAGGCATGCTGGTACATGCCTGTAATTCCAGCACTCAGGAGGCTGAGGCTGCAGGATAGACACGAGTTTGAGGCCAGTCTGGGCTACATAGTGAGTTTAAGACCAGCCTAACTACACAAAGAGATCCAGTTTCCAAACAACAACAAAAAGAAAACAAAAGTAAAGAGTACGGCTAGACATCTGCAACCCCAGTGAACACCCGGAATATGTAATCTCAAGCCTTCAGTCTTTCATCCCTTGAGGAATACCACGGTTGGCAGCATAGCTAGGTTTTATTTTATTTTATTGTAGTTCTGGGAAGGAACTCAGGGCCCTGTGTAGTGGGGGCAAGCACTCACCACTGAGCTGCACCCCCCCAGCTCTAGAACCAGCTTCAGAAAATAGGACCAGGGCTTTTTGCACACAGTCCCCCCCCCACACACAGTGGGTTCTCCTGCTGCTCTGAGCGGGCTCCTCAGCCCGCCCCACACCTCTCCTTAATCACCTCCCCACAGACACTTGCTTTGGCGCCTCTGGGTCCCTGCGCTCTCACTTTACGAATTGTTTCATCATCACCATTAGTGAGTATTTACCTCAAGCTTCCCGTGTGCGAGTCCCCGGGCTGGACGCTGGGAACACCAGGGTGTGCACACATCAGGGGAGGGAAGCCATGGGGGCCATCCGAGGACACCGAGCAAGGCTGGCAGGACCTCGAGGCTGCTGTGATGCGTGACCCTGTGGGCACCATTCCCTGGAGGAGCATGGTACTCTGGCTGCAGCCCCCTCCCTTTGCCCACAGCCACCTGCCTGCAGCTAGGTGGAAGTGTCATCCGCCTGTTGCCCACATGCTGTCCACCAGGAGTGGACATGCTCCTCGGGTCCCTTTTGTGGGGAACATCAGAGTTTTGCCCTCTGTGTTGGTTGCATAGATTGGCTTGTCTCTGGACGGCCCTCAAGCCTCATGCACTCATAGGTGAGGTTTTCAGAGATGCCTGGATCTGGGGTGTGTGATTCTGGGATTAAGGGTATATGAGAGCTAAACTGGGTTAGTATACTTCTAGGGGGTGTGTGTGTGTGTGTGTGTGTGTGTGTGTGTGTGTGTAGCACCACCCAAAGAGCTTCAAGCCTGGATAGGATAAAAGGGAAGGGAAGGATTTCCTATTTACTGCTCCCTGCTTTCTGACTGCCCTGCCCTGAGCTGCTTCTCCTCTGCTGTGCCCCTCTGCATGCCACCCTGCCTTGAAGCCAGCACTTATGAATTGGAACCTCTAAAAACTGTGAGCTGAAATAAACTTTTTTTCCTTTTGGCTGGGCGTGGTGATGCACATCTGGAACCTCAATACTTGGGAGGCTGAAACAGGAGGATTACCACAAATTCAAGCCTAGCCTGGATTACATAGTGAGACCCTATCTCAATCAACAAACAACAACAAAATCAAAGTAAACCTTTCCTCCTTTAATTTTTAAACGTATTTTTAGTATAGGGTATCATTACACAGATCAGACTATAGTGATCCTCTTGTTTTCAGCCTCCCAAGCACTGGGATTACAGGCACACACCACCACACCCAGTCTCAGCACCAACTCAGTGCTCCCTGGGGGTGGGGCAGGTACGGCATGCCCTGGGGATCAAACCCATCCCTGTGATTGCCTAAGCAGGTGCTTTAGTCAGCTGAGCTATGTGGCTCACCCTCCTTTAATTTTGGGAGCTGGGTATTTTGTCCCAGCAATGAGAACACTAAGGCACTCACTAAGTCACTAAGTTGCCCAGGCTGAACTTGTAGTGCTCCTGCTTCAGTCTGCTGAGTAACTAGGTTACTTGCCTGGGTCCTGTATATTTACTGCACAGGGGCTCTCACCCCCAAAGCCCCCACAAGCTCTCAGGTCTAACATCCAGCCCACAGGGCCCTCCATCTCCATCCTCCAGTCCTCACAAGTTTCCAGCCCTTAGGACGAAAGACCAAGACAGTGTGGGGAGGTGATTAATGAGAGGTGTGGGGCGGGCTTAGGAGCCCACTCAGAGCAGCAGGAGAACCCACTGTGTGGGGGATGCCTTTTCCCATCCCACAGGGGCCAGAAAATAAGGACTGTGGCGGCTGAGCAGGGGCCTCCCAAAGGCGTATCTGCCTGGACTGTGTGAGTATGAGTCTACGTAGAAGATAGGTAGATGTAAAAACAGTAAGGATCTCAACCTGAAACCATCTTTGGCTAGGGTGGGTCCTAATCCAAGGACACATGTTTGGGTAAGAGAGGGAAGAGACACAGAGAGAAGATGGCCGAGCCAAGACAGACAGAGCTTAGAGTGACATGGCCACAAGTCCAGTGACATGGCCTGGAGCCACCAGAACCTGGAAGAGTAGGAGGGCCCTACTTGGAGCCTGTAGAGGGACAGTGCCCTTCCCACAACTTATCTCAGACTTTTGGTTTCCAGATTCTGAGGCCGAATGTCTTTTTTTTTTTTTTCAGAACCAGGCATTGAATTCAGGCCCTTGCGCTTGTCAGGGAAGCGCTTATTCTGCTGAGCCATCTCCCCGGCCCCTACTGAATGTCTGTTGTTCACAGCACCAGTCTGTTGCCATTTGTTATAGCAGTCTGCACATCAACATAGGGCAAAACTCTGGTGATACCCACAAAGGGAGCCTGGGCAGCACGGCCAGCCTTGACATATATTGCATGGGCAGGAAGATGCTGGCACTTCTTCCTACTTCTTCCAACCCAACTGCAGATTCTCAGTACTACAGGGAGCGGGAGGGAGAGGGGGAGGGGGAGGGGAGGGGAGGGGAAGGGGAGGGGAGGAGGAAGAAAGAAGGAGAAGGAGATGGAGAGGGAGAGGGAGAAGGAGAAGAAGAAACCCACCCCTGTCAGCTCATGTGACCACTTGCTGCTTCCATGAAGGCCCTGCATGGAGTGAGAGGGATATCGAATCCACGAGGTCCTCCTGCCTCAGCTTCACAGGATCACCTGCCCACAGAACTAAAAGGTGTTAAGTTTGGGATCAGACACTGCCTTGCAGGTAATAGGGTTGGCAAGCTTGGGGCATGAGCCTGTGGCCACTTGTGTAGGATGTAGGGAAATTTCCAAGGAGTGATCGAAGGACAGGTCGTGTCCCAAGGTAAAGAAAATGTTCGTGCCTGAGCAGTAGGTGTGCCGGCTAATTCCTCAAGCATCCGTTGTGATGTGGGAGCCAGCTGGTTTGCTCGTGTGAGCAGCTATGGTTCTGGCTGTGTCCACCAAGGCCTGGGTGCTCTTGGGAGGAGGCAGGGCCCCGCAGGAAGCAGTGAGG